TATATATATATATATATATATATATACACACACACACACATATATATAATCATTAAAGACAGGCAGTGTAAAGACCCCTTCTTGTTTTAAAAATAATCTAAAGCAGGGGTTCTCAAACCTTTTGGGTCTGAGGACCCCTTACAAGTGTGAAACGTTTCCAGGGACCCCCTCATAAACCCCATGCTGTTTTAAAAATAATTTACTGTCATTTTAACCCCTTAATGTTATGAGAATATTATGTTTTTGTTTGGTTTAGTGTGTTTGTTTTACTAGTGCATTGTTCCTCATGTTCATTTTTCAAATAAAATCCAAAATAACCATTTATTGAAAAATTTTCAGGACCCCCAAGATGGGGCTCGTGGRACCCTGGGGGTCCTGGGACCCCAGTTTGAGAACCTCTGGTCTAAAGAATATGACCTTTCCCTTCTCATTTACTGACTCGAAYTGAGGTCAGTCAAAGAATAAAGCAGTAAGTTAATAAAACTACCTGAAGAAGAAAAAAAGATGTAGAAAAACCCATGCAAGTGAACTGTTGGATTTTAGACATGAGAGAAACGGCTCAAAATGGAATGTGATTGTTTTAATATGAGCATGGATTGTCTTTAATTGTCTAAAAAACAACAATAAACAATAATTACAAGTCTCTTATCTGTAAAACTGAAAGCCTTTCTAACACTTTAGATAGGAAGACGGTGTTGAGCGTTGTGGTTTGCAAACTGTTACTTCCTGAATTATCAGAACCATTACGTGGTTTCAGTTTGAATTTTAGTCAAGTAATTTGTCACATRTTCACTGTGAGCACAAGCTGTGCATGTGTGTGTAAGTAAATACACATGCAACACAACACTGGGACGCTCATGATTCTTGTGATTATATTGCACAAAATTGGCTCAATGTGCAATCAAAGCAAACATTAGTGAAGGCACAGCACCTCAGAAGAACCTGGTCCACTAAAATCCTGAAGAAGTGATTTGTCTTTCATTGACTCTAACGATCAGGTCTAAAAATAAAACATAAAACACAACAGTTCTTTTGGAGTTTTCCCACAGAGAGTTGAGCAGTTGTCTTAAATCCTTCTTTTTCACATTTAAATCATTCAGTTGGGGTCTATATAAAGTGGTCTGAATTACTCTTTATTCACACGCCCCTCTTTCTTTTCTGATGTGTGTCTCAGATCAACTTGTTTTGAGGCTGTCTCTTGAAATCAAAGTGCTTCACCCTGTCCAGCTTCCAAAGCGGTCCATTCCAGTTTGGTTGAGGGGTTTACGACTGTATAGCAGCGCAGAAAATTTTTTATTTGCAAATTAATTAAAAGATGTCAACGAAGAAAGACTTGTCCAGCCAGCCTTACGTGCTGGAGCCAGAGTAAAACCAGAGCAGAATGAAGACGACCAAATTGTAGTTGTTAAATACAGACCTTATTTGGCAATTCTGTCACAAATTCTGTGATGTAAAAGTTCAGAAAACGTCATAGAAAATAGAGAAAACTGAGCGAGTTGACAATTTTGACCCAGAAATAACGTAAAGATCTACGCAGCACCGGGAGAAACTAATTCAACTTTTCTGCACTCCTAAAGAAAACTGAACAGGTTGAAAAACATGGCCCAGACAGAACAAAAAGATATTTACACAGCAGAGAGCTAAAAAGTGGATTTTGCAAGATATGTTCCTTTTAAATTGCTGTCGAACTTGATTTATTTTGTCTGTCTGTTAGCCAAATATCTTATGAAAAGCTGGAAGAAGGTAATTAATGAATGTACAATTGAATAATGTTTGACGTTAACCTGATTTACGACTTAGCACACACAAAAAATGCCTATGCTTTGTCACATTAGGTGTGGTAGTAGCTGACAGTCATCTTCAGCTCAACAGTCTGTGCATTAACTTGAGGTAAAAAAGAAAAAAATTGTATAGGTCTTCTGGACGGGTTCTTCTCTAATGAAACGTTTCGTCTCTCCTCCARGAGACTTCTTCAGTCTGAGAGTTTCAGGCAAAATTCAGGCTTTTAAGCCCTGCCTCCATGTGACTGATACTCACATCAAATGGCTATCTTTGACACCTAATTAACACCTATTGTTAACAGGGGGTGGAGTGATCCTGGCAATAGCAGCACTGTAGGAGGGGGACAACTGAAAACGGAGGCGAGCTACATCTAATGGCCAAAACTCTGCAGTTTTCACTCATTTACAGGCCAGCGGTCACTCTTTCAGAGATGAGGATGTTCTCATTCTTGATAGGGAGGAACGTTGGTTTGAGAG